CGCTCACCGCATACGCAGACAAAATTCGCAGCCGGGGCTGGGTACTACAAGTATTCGGGACGATGAACCAGTACCCCGATATCCTCTCTATCACCCCGGACCTCGACGTAGACGTAGTAGTCGACCATCTGGGGTATCCGGACCCGAAGAACCCCGCTCTCGACCCAGCCGGAAGGCAAGCTGTGTTGCAGGCGCTCCGATCCGGTCGTACGTGGATCAAGATGAGCGGCACGTACCGCTTCCCCACCACACCCGGGCTGGATGAGTACGTACATGAGGTACTGAAGACGGCGCCCGACAAGATTGTATGGGCGAGCGACTGGCCGCATGTCGGAGGTCCTCATCGGAACCCTGGCGGGGACAGACTTCAGCAGCAGGAGTTCATGACTCCTGACATTCCCGGCTTCATCGACCAGTGCGTCGAGTGGTGCGGAGGAGATCAGCAGCTGATCAACAAGATTTGGATTGACAATCCCCGCAGGCTTTGGAAATACAGCGAGGACGATTGATCATGCCGAGTCATTTTGAGCAGAATGATATTTTGCACGGCCAACCAAATCTGAACGAATCATGCAGAAGCTTTGTCTGCTCATATCTTCAAGCCTATCACATGTACAATATTACCGCCTAAACTATTCCCCAGCATTATCCGGCTCCCGCTGGTAACACACAAGGTGAACTGAAGCCCAAAGGGTAGTCCTAATTTCCCGACAAGGGCAGAAGAAAAGCGACCCCTCCGTATTCGCCCTGGCCCCACTGCCACCGACGCCGCCGCAGCGTTTCCCCATTCCTGAGCAAGGGTTCCCGGCCCGTCACTCCAACACTAGCCCGGGTAACGGCAACTTCCCCTTGAAATGCCAACGGTCTATCGTTGTCTCATACCCCACAAGGCGTTCTCGGCACTCTGAAAACGGTCAGTCATCCCATCCCACTTATGCCAGACCACATAGCCATGCCACTTACCCGCTGACCATCTACACCAGGGTGTACGTGCCGGGAAGAGGGTCCTTGTTGTCCCAGAACCTGATCGTGACATCGCAGTTTTTGTAAACGGCGAAGCACTCATTGGCACCGCCAAATGAAGTCGGGAGAAGGATCCAGTATGTGCCGTCATAAGCACCGAGGTTGAAGTTGTAAGTGATGTCGGTGAATTCGGAGTTGCTGGGAAAAGTGTCAGTACAAGCAACGGGCGAGCACTCGGCTGCGCAAAAGACTCACCCAGGAACGGACTGCACCCTCGACTGGAACTTGGCATTCATGACGCCGCCGTGGAAGCCGTCGATGAAGTATGTCGATCCTACGCTCGTGGGCAGCTTGTGGGTTTGGCGGTGGCTGTTCGTGCCGCAGTGGGAGCTGCTGATGACGTCGCACTGCACAGCGGCGTTGCAGAAGTCAGTCAGACCGACCAAGAGAACCAGCGCGGACGCAGCCTTGGAGAATGAGAAAGAAACCATCTTGAGAAGAGTTGAGCGGTGTAAGTGATGAAGATGAGGGTGTGTCTATTCGTCCTGTGTTATGATCTACACCCGTGGTATTTATCTTTACGGGTTGATCTGTGCTTCCTGGGGGAAATGTAAATCATTGGGAACATCCTCATGAGCCATGTGTCACCGTAACTCTTGTTATCTCTCACAATTTCCTTGATCACGAGGCTAACCGGCAGCTCAATATCGGTGAAACTCTCACATTGATATCATCTCTCGTTGAAATTCAATGGGTTTTCGTAGAGTTGAGTCAGGTAGCTCGGGAAAATTATGCCGAGACCCCGCAAAACCCAACTAGCCTATAGTCTAGAAAGTATAGAAAATGAGCCAACAAGATAAGTCAATTAATTTGCGAGTCAGGTTGTCCCAATAAGTGAGGCGTCTAAGCTTCTGGAACTCTAAACACGGTCCCTGAGAAATAGACTAGAGCAGAAATAAGCATTAGAACTGGTAGTTGCGCTCGAGATCTTCATTTCAGAGAGGTTCGTGATGAACTGCCCAGCTGAAGATAGACTGAACTCAAAACCGAGTCAGCATAACTCATGTGAGCATTTCCGTTATCACAACCCCTCATTATCCGGACGGATTGTGCCGACGGGATTACTCCTTGAGATGGATGAGCTTGACAGAAGTTATAATAGATGACAATGTCGCTTGCTCCGATCAAGCTTTTCTCGCCAAGTCATCCGAGTCCCTCCGCATTCTCCAAGCAAGCTTGATTTGTTTTTTTCCCCTGCGCAGCCACGACATTCCTTGCACAATGCTTCGTTTACTTTCCCTCGCTTTGGCCATCAGCCACGTGCAAGCTCGCGTGGTGACGCGCCAGGACTCAAACCAAGATACCCGCACCCCCCTCTTTACCAAGGAGGTCGAGGGCAACTTGACCACCTACAAGCCCTACGATGCGTTCGACTACAACCACTGGACTCCCGAGGCCACTCTCTACGATGGCATTCCCATGCTGGAGAAGCAGGTCACGGTTGATGGCAAGCAGTTGACGTACCAGGACTTCAACGTCTCTGCTCTCACCACGGAGCAGTTCAAGACCCACTACATGAACCTCCCCGAGTACTTTGATGCCAAGGGCAACTTCATTCCCACGGACGCTGAGGTCAAGGCTTTCCAGTATGTTTACCAACTGAGCACATATTCTAGCTCTGCATTGCCTTTTACTGACCTGTTGAAAAGAGATTCTCTCATTGCTCACGCAGACGATCCCAATGCGGCCATTGACATCCCCACCAATCATGTCAGCAAGCGGGCCTTCCCCGACATGTGCTTCTACGACGACAGGCTTCGTTGCTCGAGCAGCTGCATCGACAACATTTCTCGCGGCGTCAGACAGTCATTGAACAACAATGTCTATGGAAACTACCACTACGTCTCGGATGCTCAGTGCGGTACGGGCTCCGTCACCAAGACTGTTTCCGTCACCCACGTCTCTGGCGTTACCATTGGAGGCACTGGCCAGATTCCTTCCGTAAGTCTAGCAAGCAACATGCGCAAGATGCCAATTTACTGACCGGCTTCCAGTTCGGCAAGGGTTGGACCAAGGCTGCCTCCACGTTCTTCAGCACCTTTGGTCTGAGCATTGGCCACACTCCGGACAGGTACGCAACCCCTGGACGTCTCTAGGGCGTCTTATTGTGGCTAACATCTTTGTAGTGTGACCACCGGTATCGCCTACTCTGGCACCTGTGGTGCTTTCAACGTCTGCTTCCTGTGGGAGAGACCCCATTTCAGCGTTGACAAGGGTGTCATTGTGGTACGTTTTGACCCTGTGCCATCCGTACAAACGTCGGATTGCTAATCACAAGGGAACAGACCCAGCACATCGACGTCAACTCCAAGCGAGCCTGCAGCAACCCCACCGTGACCCCTTACGAGGCTCACGTTATGCATGAGTCCAGCGATGCTGGTGGTTCTAGTATGTCAAACCATTTCCTCGTGTTTCTCATTTCCGATGATCAATTGACTGACTTATTCGTCATAGACTCCCACGGAATGTGCTACTCTATGGGCAACCACGGCTGCGGCAGCAAGGTCCTCGCTTCCAACCAGCTTCTGCGCTGCCCTAACAACTACTAAGGTGGCCTTGTTCAAACAGTTCACAGGGTGGACTGACCAATGACTGCTTCGGGTGTGCGACAACTGTGAGCGGGGCAATTTTCTCCTGTTGTCTAATGGGCATGCTTGAGAGTGGATGCACATAAGACGATAACTTACGATTCAGTATTTAGCTTTTTGAACACTAGTAAATAGTTGCCGTGAAGTAGCTCACGTAATCTCTAAAGATTATTGGAATACTTTTCATCCCTCCTGATATCACATTAATACCTGCTGTGCATGACCACTACGTGCTGCTGCATAATACACCACGAAAACCGCTTGACATATGAGCGCACTTTTTCACTGCCTAGAGATCATGTAATTGAAAAGCGATTCATCAACCTTGGACTTAAATGCTGAGCCATATGGCCACTTTACAACCATTTCGACGTTCGCCGTCTTGACGCCAAGATAATCAAAATCGGAAATAAAATCGCGAGGGTAACATTGCGTGGCAGACGATCTTGGGGTCGTGCGCCTCATTTGTGGAGTAACCAGGGAACAACCCCGCGTGTCCCAGCAGAGCGGCTTCGGCGTCCCAGTTGGCTTCGCCGTCGGCAATGTGGATAGCAGGTGCCGCAGGGCTTATCTGAGGCGCCTCGGAAGACGGCCGAGTTTTTTTCGTCCTCGGCTGTCCATCCGTCGCACCATCCAAGATATCCGCTACAAGCATGAATAACACACGCAAGAATGATGACGTTTCTGGACCTGGTTTGAAGACACAAATGCCATCTCAAAAATGACCCGTGGAGGCAATTCGGCCCTTTCGACCGAACTCGAGATTCGGGCAGTCCCCGAAGGCCTGTGCTTCAAAGGGATGCACACCTACAAATACCAGTTCTTCCCCCCATCTCTCACACATCCACCCCGCGGACACGGGTCTTCGACGGCTTGTGCAAGTCAATGCTGTGAGACACTCACCCAGATTGGGGCATCGAGTGGTACAAAATGCACCCTCCGGATCACACACCCCGTCAACATGATGACTGCTATCATTGTCATTTGCAAATCAAAGCGTAGATGGCTGGAAGAGAAGACCTAAGCGTCATGTGATCGGACATTGTATCAGTGCATTACTCGCGATAGATAGATAAGAGTCTCACATGCGGGGCGATTACACTGGCTATCAAGATACGCCGACTATCGGGGATCGGTATCCCGGGCTACAGACCCGTGCCACCCCTCATTTCCCAGTTTCCCACAGTGTTCTCATTGGCCGCCCACCGATCGACCTCAACGGCATCGGAAGACTTTTGCGCCTCTCAATTGGGGACACACGACCCGTGAACCGATTTTAATAGTAGTCTTTTGTCGCATTTCCGACGAGACTGAGAAGAGACTTCTGTAACGGTCAAACGGCTGCGGGAAACGAACGATACACCACATACGTTTTTTAATGCGCCCATAATGCCTCAGCAACCGCCGGGCAAACAGCGATCGGCCAACGCGTCAGTCTTCAATGACCTCATCGCACAAGACGTGCTGCTGACTTGGCGACGCACAGCTGCAACACCTGTCGGCGTCGCAAGGTGAAATGCTCAGGCGAGCAGCCATGTCGCAACTGCGTCAGGAATAAGCTTGACTGTGAATTTGGCGCGGGGCGACAGCGATACTCCGAAGCGTAAGGGCCCAATTGACTTTTTCGGTGGTTGACGCCAGATTTGGGAATCGCCGATAAGCTAATCTGTCCCCCTAGATATGTCCAAGAATTGAGGGCAACAGTCACACGATATGAGTCTCAAATAAGAGGTGCGCAACCTCCACACTCTTCGAAGGGGTTTGGTTAATGGAAGACTAACGTTTGTCTTATCATAGAGCTCAAGTCATCAACACCAGCCCCAGCCCCGGGCGGTGTTTCAGTGGCTTTGGAGAACACTCTGGGCATTGCACCCACAGAACCAACAGGCGAAGTACCACCGCCACCAAGTTATTGTTAGAACAAGCCTCCCCTTTGAGTCGATGCTAAAGTGAACTTACACGATTGCAATAGCCTCAATAGAACGCGCACCTGGCCCCTTGTTCGAGCAGCGCGTCCGAAATTTGTTCCATGAGAACTCCGGTAGAGACACAGGATCCCCAGAACAAGACTCACCAGAGATGCGCACAACGCATGATGAGCAGCAAGACGCACCTTTCACACCAGAATGGACTTCAACAGAAGAGTTGATCAGAGGCATCCCGCCTCAAATTATGCCGGGGGAGGCAGAGTCGAATCGTCTACTGGGACTGTTTAATGACTACATGAGCGGCAACCAACATTTCATCGACCAGAGGACCTTTGCAGACAACTTGACATTATTATTCCAGAACCAGGCTACTCGAGCGAAACAGATGAAGACTCCTTGGTTCACGCTCTACTTGCTGGTGATGGCGATGGGCAAGTTGATGGAGGCCGATAGGAGGATCTACGATGGCCCGCCAGGAGCTTTCTATTTCGCGGAAGCTATGAAGAGGTTTCCGCCTCTCCACAGTATCAGCGAGTACGGCATTGTGGGAGTTGAGATATTATGTCTTGCGACAACATATTTGCAATGGTGTGACAGGAAGAAGGACTCATACTTCTTTGTACGATCGCTGCCTCGTTTCAAGCCTGTCGATGAAGACTAACAACCTGCAGGTCGGCACTGCTGTACGACTTGCTCTGACATTGGGCTGCAACCTGCCGTTCGCTGAGCAGCAATGTTTGCCTTCAGAAAGAGCCCACCGCACAAGGATATGGTGGACTGCGTACATGCTTGACCAGTATGTATTCCCAGAGGAGGGGTTAAGAGATCATTCTAACATTTTGCAGACGCATATCAGCAGGGCTGGGATTGCCAGCATCTGTTGATGACCGCCAAATTACGTTCGACCTTCCGGGACCATCGCCCGGATTCGAGTCGCCAGAGGCACTGAACATCAACGTTCGGATTGCTCGCGCCACTTCAGAGATCATGACTTGTGAGTCTCATGGTTACAAGAGCCCCACATGCTCGGAGGTGTCAACTAACACTAGCCTGCAGCATTGTATAGCAATGGTGGCCTATCTCAGGGTGATCTCATAAAGAAGATGCGCAACGTTCTTCAGTCATTATACGACACGGGCCGATCTATTCCACTAAACATTGCAATCGACTTCAAGAGCAAGGAGCTTGAGGTCACAAGATCCGGTTCTTCGCTGTATTTGAGGTTGTTCTCGGTATGACGCCCACAAAAATAAGTCTGATCGTGAAATCACTAACTTCATCAAAGGCAATCATCCTCTGCATTCGACCGATACTACTCCAGAAAGTCAAGGATAAGGTGCAAGATACCCAGAAGCAAATCGTCACACCAGCAATCTCTCAGCTGTGTTTGCTTTGCAACGAGGCAGCATTGAGGACCATCCGCATTCTGTATGCCATGAAGAAGCAAGACGAGATTGGTAAGTACAAACTGCTGCGATCATAAATTCATCTTGATGCTAACTATGGTTTAGCCCCTTTCGCATTCTTCGATTTAGACGCAGCATTCTCAGCAGCATTCGTGCTCATCATGCGAGGATTCGCCCACAAGAACGACAGCCAAAAACCACCCCCTCAGGAATTACATCAAGCTGTGGAAGTCCTAGAGTATCTCTCTGCAGCGGGTAATAATGCGGCTTCGCATCGTTTAAAAGAGATCAAGCAGCTAGAAGCACATGTGTGGGGATCGAGGTACTTCCCACCCGAAAAGGATGGTGACGTGCAGATGAAAGATTCTGGAACACCCCACGGGGAACCCCACGCGGGAGGATCCGGGGCTCAGGGAACTCCGGGGCAGTCTGGCGAGGGGTCGGGCTCGCAGGTCGTCTTATCGCCGCCCGACCCGAGTCCCTCGACTCAGCCGTCGTGGGATGGCGAGATGTTTGGCACCGAGTCGGCCGAGTCGTATGACCCCGACCAGCTGTTCGGCCTGGATTTGAACGGAAGTCTGGGACAGGAGTTCAGCTTGGAAGCCGAGGGTATCTACGCCAGTTTCAACGACCCGACGCTTCCGCTTACCGGAGTCGATCAGCTGGACTGGGCCGAGCTGGAGAAGATGATGGCACCTGGTGGATACGGATCATGATGCGCCTCAGTCAGCCGAATCTAATTGAAGTGATTGCCGCATATTCCCGAGATAATTCCTTTATTCCAAACCTCCGAAGTTCGATTTGCCACATGTGATTGGCCTGCCCTACAAGATGGATGGTTTCCGTTCGACCGCCGGCGACGGGGAGAGATTGGGTGGGGCCAATCGGATGACATCCGCACACAATGAAAGATAGCTCGGCTCTATGCCGAGCTACACTCGGGTGAGCGTGCGAGAATTAAACACCAACGGGTACGAGCCGAACAGGTATCGGAGACCGCGATTCGGCTTCAAATATATTTAAGAATAACCTACATCGCACCTGACATCATTTAGAGGCCTTTCGAAGACAGAAAACATTTATTCAGCACTGGTCAATTATCGCAAAATTTCACACCGCACAATGACTCAATCAACGGGCAACGTCGCCATCCTTGGCGCTGGTAGCGAAGCCACCAAGCTTATTCTCACTGAAGAGGCAGTCAAGTTTCTGGCAATTATCCACCGCAGTTTTGAGCCTACTCGCAGGAAACTCTTGAAGTTGAGGGAACAGCGCCAGATCGAGACCGATCAGGGCAGGTTACCCGACTTCCTCCCCGAAACCAAGCACATCCGCGATGACAACAACTGGAAGGGCGCTGCGCCAGCGCCCGGTCTTGTTGACCGCAGAGTTGAAATTACTGGACCCACAGACCGCAAGATGGTTGTGAATGCACTCAACTCTGACGTTTGGGCTTATATGGCGGATTTTGAAGGTGTGTTAATTGAGACAACGTTGCGTTTGAGATGTGTGACTAACAGCCTGCAGACTCAAATGGACCTACCTGGGACAACATGGTTCAGGGCCAGGCAAACTTGTACGATGCTATCCGTCGTCAGGTTGACTTCAAGTTGGGCGAGAAAGAGTACAAGCTCAGAACTGATCGCACTTTGCCCACTTTGATTTGCCGAACGCGCGGTTGGCATCTGGATGAGAAGCATTTCACCGTTGACGGAGATGCTATGTCTGGAGCTCTCTTCGATTTCGGCCTGTATTTCTTCCACAACGCCAAGGAATTGATTTCAAGAGGAACTGGTCCTTACTTTTACTTGCCGAAAATGGAGTCGCATCTCGAGGCCAGGTTGTGGAACGACGTTTTCAACATGGCTCAAGATTACATCGGCATTCCCCGGGGAACAATCAGAGCCACTGTTTTGATTGAGACTATCAGTGCGGCTTTTGAGATGGATGAGGTTCGTCGTCCTTCAAGAGCGGCTTTCGACTTTTTTGCTAACTTTGTTTCTCAAGATCATCTACGAGCTTAGAGACCACAGCTCCGGCCTCAACTGCGGCAGATGGGATTACATCTTCACCTTCATCAAGCGCTTCCGTAACCGCCCCGGCTTCATCCTCCCCGATCGCGCCGACGTCACCATGACCGTCCCCTTTATGGACGCCTACGTCAAGCTCCTGATTAGCACCTGTCACCGTCGCGGCGTTCACGCAATGGGCGGCATGGCTGCCCTCATCCCGCGCAAGGACGACCCCGCTGCTAACGCGAAGGCCATGGAGAGCGTCCGCGCGGACAAGCTTCGCGAAGTCAAGGCGGGTCACGACGGCACCTGGGTTGCGCACCCCGCGCTTGCGTCCATCGCGAGCGAAGTCTTCAACGAGCACATGCCCACGGCCAACCAGATCTTCGTCAGGCCAGAGGTGAACGTTACGAGGGACGACTTGCTTAACTCGGTTGTTCCTGGAAAGATCACGGATGACGGTGTGAAGAAGAACTTGCACATTTGCCTGGCTTATATGGAGGGCTGGCTGCGCGGTGTTGGTTGCAGCGCCATCAACTACTTGATGGTAAGTACTTCAGCGATCATAAGGGATTCATGGATGAATTGCTAACGTTACCCCAGGAGGATGCTGCTACTGCCGAAGTGTCCCGAACACAATTGTGGCAATGGGTCAAGCACGGCGTGAGCACCGCTGAAGGAACCAAGCTCGACAAGACCTACGTGCTCGGCACCCTCGACCAACTCACAAAAGAGCTGGCTGCTTCTGCGCCTGCGAACAACAAGTTTGAGCTCGCTGCCAAGTACTTGAGGCCGCAAGTAACAGGCGAAGATTATGCCAGTTTCGTCACAACGTGAGTGTTCCTCGTTATTCTCGTAACAGAAATCATTTGCTAATTGCTTTTCCATAGTCTTTTGTACGATGAGATTACCTCAATCTCTCCCTCGGGAAAGTTGTAAATGGGATCGTGTGGATTTAAGCTAGAGCGTCGCAAAACGAGATGAGCAGGAATCAAGCTGTTGTTAGTCGCAGAAAGATTGAAGTCTTCTAGCATAGATGAGCTTATGAAATAATGTCACGATACGTTGCAGTCTGCTACTGCAAAAATAACTTCTGGCGTCCAAGAGCAAAAGATCGACGTTGGCCTGATTCGAACAGACGCTCCCGAAGGAACAAGATTTCTAGTCTTGCGCATTAGACCACTCTGCCACAACGCCGCGTTGAGGAATCCACTCATGAGTGGGTATGCAGATCACCGGCCTCCACAGGACCATGACTGCCGGCAGTGAGTTGCGGGTCCTGTGACTGGCCTGACGATTTTCTGCGGCCTCGTTGTCTGTCGACTTCGAATGAGTTCTTCTTGTTGAATCGAACAGCTCCCAGGTATCGGGCAAGTTGATTTGACTCGTTTCTATGAAAGCTCGTCTTGATTCTTTTGTTAGCAGCTCGTTGAAGTACTGGGGTGTGGAGGCGATAGACAACAGTAGGTTAGGGTGCCGGTGGAACTCTGATGCTGGATGAGAAAAGCCCCAAGTGCAAACTATCAACAAGATGACATCCTTGAGAGTTGAAAGTTGAGATATGAAGATAAGAGAATAAACAACAAAATTACGGCGATAATGAGGTAATTTCCGCAAGCCATCGCGAGAGTTTGAGACACGGTCACGTGCCGCCCCTGACGCCCAGACCAACATGCATTCGCGTCAGCTGGATCTGGGGTTAGCGAGCGCGTCTGGACGCTACACCCTTGTCATCAACGCTCAACATCTTCATCGGCCGACAGTCTGTTGCACATAAGCTGCTTTAAGACTCCCAGAACTATGCACATATGGCGGCCGAATTGAGAAGCGAGCTCGAGTACCGTCGCAACTTTGTGATGCAATGTCGCGTCGAGGGATTCGAGTATGTAGACGGTACGCTGTTATTCGAAGGGATCGCCCGCGTCGATGGGGCCCGGCTGCGCGAGCTCTGTTTCCCCGATGACATTGAGGATCCCGACAAGAGGAGATCAACAATCGCTGAAGCCAGAAAGCTTTTTAAGAAGAAGGAGTGGTTCAAAGCGCAGTCAATGTTCTATGATCTGCGACTCACGCATATGAAGATGAAGACGCTTAGCGGCCTACGCTACGACCTTTGTGAGATGGTGAAGATGGGCCTAGTAAGTGAAGCGGGAAGATGGGGGCATTGATGGCACTCGTGAGCGATACTGACTCCATGCAGTGCGATAAACTTGCCAAACGTGCAGATGTGATCGATTCGGCATTCGAAGACGCCGAGCGGATGCGTCGGGAAAAGGAGTCAATATTCCTCGAATTCAGTGACCCTACCATCAAGGCGGCTTGGGACATGGATCTCTTCAAAGAACACTTTTTCTTAAAGGATGGAGAACCAGATCCAAATGTCACTCCTGAGCCTATTGTTCTTCACGATATCGATCCTCAACTGATGTTTGAGATTCCCTCCATGGTAGAGGAGATCGACGGGCTCTACCTAGCCCCGGGACTACTCAACGGAAAGCCATTCGCCGTCATCGGTTGGGACAGGGAGGAAGTGAAGAACACAGGTCTGGCAGAGAACGCGAAGTTTCAGTCTGGTCCTACCAGTTCTTCCAAGTATGTCCCTCCAAAGAAGCCATGGCAGCAAGCCATGGACGACCACCGCAAATACCTCTCAGAATCCGCTGAAGCTGCTGAGGCGAGACTCATGGCGGAGGACATTCTGGAGTTTACGCCGAAGGAGATGCTTCTCGAAGACGCCATCGGATCATACGTCGTCAAGTGCCCTCAACTACAGATGAAGTATGCGATGTATGGCGCCGTATTTCATTTGAACATCCAGGACCATCCGGGCATGGAAGGAAGGGATGGACTCCTTACTGCCAGCATGAGCTTCGGCGTCGTGAGCGGTATCATGCTCCTCTCTTTCTCCAAAGATACTCTGATTAAGGCTTCAAACGGATGGGCGCAAGAATTTCTAGACGAAGATGAATATTCTGACGTCCCGCCATTGGAAAATATCGAGCCATATATAGTAGAACGACCGCTCGATCGGGATGACGATGATGATGCCGCATCTGAGCAACCGACGGGCAAGTCAAGAAAACGCTCCGCGGCTGCCCTTAGCAGCAAAACGCGGCGTCCGCAAACGCGCAAGAAGCGCAAGTCAAATTCTCGACAAACGTTTGAGGGCTGTCGACGGCTTTATTTTCTCTGGAAGGGTAAAGAGAAGCTCGGAGAAGAGCCGGTGGAAAGCCACGGTTTCCTCGACTTCAATGCCACCTGCACTGGATTTAAGGGGCTCACTTGGATCGACACGTTCCAAGTCGAGAACCTGGAATGTGCGTTCCAGGGCTACAAGGTCATACCAAAACCTCCACAGCCCCCTGATGAAGAGTCAAACTTGATAGATACAGAAAGCTCTGATAGCGACTCTGATGAGATACCGGAGAGCTTCTTGGTCAACTTCCTTCTAGAAGGATGAGCGGGAAGAGACGTCAAGATTGTAAAATACGCAGCGGTAACCAGTAGGAAAACGTTAGTAGACTATCTTGCTGGTCACCATCGAGTTAGTTCTGGACGCGCTTAGACCAGTGGCCAAAGGCCTTCTTTGGGTAGAGTGCGCCAAAGGTGAACAGTGTCGAGGAGATGATGTGATTGCCGAGATATTTTTGGGCAATATCAGCATAGCTCAAATAGGCTGATATGGCACGAAAATGTAGCGACGACATGATGTCTGTCGACATTGACTGGACTGCTCTCGGCTAGCTGCTACTATTACTTATGCAGCATCTCGACGCAGCTGGGTATTAGTTAGCCCCTTCAAAGTTGATGAATGTCCTCGCACCTCACGCGACATGGCGAGGAGCACACGACAGTCTGAAGAGAGCTTAGTGCTAAGCACTTGATCGATCATTCTAGACCTCAGTGGCGTTCACTACCTAAAAGTTGTTCCCGAACGTAGGCGACTTCAAGATCGCGTAAGCCGGAAGTCCACCGAGAGTGACCCTGTCAGCAGCGTAATTCGATAGAGGCCGTGGAATTGAGGCGTTCATGTTCCGACATATAAGAATGGATAGGCACGAATGGTTGCACGTCGCTGGGGCAACACTTCATGCTTATGCTAATGTTTACATAGCGACTACAACACCACGCCACGACTTCCACACGTTCTTCACGACACGGAGGCTTAATTGAAAATGTTCCCCGGTGGCCAGTCTGATCAGTCGTGGATGAAGGACTTCAGAAATCTATGTCTGTGATTTCCCCAACTTGAAACCCATATGGGCGCTTGGCTGGACCAACCGGTTGCAGCCGCTGACTCTAGTTGCGTGCCGTCCCGCTGGACACAGGTGCGGGGTTGGCACAATCGGCAGTTGAGTAGTAGGTCCATATACACGTTTTCAGGCGTGGGAAAAGGCTGGCTGGCTGAATATCTGGCAACCTTGACCATATCCGTCGAGGCCATGCCAGCCTGCACGCGTTGCGAGCCTCGGAGCCGTCGAGAAGGATGTTTCCCTGCCCACGCTTAATTTCAGCTCAACGCCACCGCGAATGACACGGTGACAGCTGCAGACGACTTCGTAAAAATCAGCACTGCTCCAAAGACCATAAATGGTTGAATTTGACCCGATATGATGCCCACGCCAGATACTGTGTACCTGTGCTCAAAGGCCCAGTCTTGTCTCGATCTGCGCCCTCACGATGTTTACGAAGTTGCTGTTATACAGCCTGGGCTTTGCCCATCTCCCAGCTCTGCACGCCGAGGCAACAGTGCCACCGACGCTGGAGCTGCCCTGGGGAGTGTACGAAGGCCAACCTATGGCAGATGATCCAGATGTAGGTAGCAGACAGACAGACAAGGACACGCTTGGTCCATTGTCAGAGCCTCTACTGACAGTTTGCACAGATTTATCTATTCGAGAACGTCCGTTTTGGTGCCAACCCCCGCGTTTCGGCGCCCCAGCCTTCCCTACGTCAACAAGCACAGCCATTCAGCCTGTCAGCGACGGACGCAACTGTATTCAGATTGACCCAAATGGTCTTCGTAACGCACCAGGTGGTCAAAGCCCAGTCGATACCCCTGATGACCAGGTCACTCCGCAAGGCGAAGACTGTCTATTCCTTGACCTATACGTGCCCAAGACCGTGATTGACAACCCCCCGCCGAAGCCTTTGCCGGTGGTCGTATGGATCTATGGCGGCGCGTTCGTATTCGGCAGCAAGAACCAGATCGGTCCTTTGTACACCGGGCAGTCAGTTATCGCAGCGAGCAACTACCAGACAATATTCGTTGCTGGTAACTATCGTCTCGGTGCTTATGGCTGGCTATCAGGAGACTTTATGCAGAAGAATGCTCAGCCAAACGCCGGACTGTACGACCAAGCTCTTCTGTTCGAATGGGTACAGAAGTATATCAACAAGGTGTCCGGCGATGCGTCTCAAGTCAGTGCCTGGGGCGAGTCCGCCGGTGGTGGATCTGTTCTCCATCATCTTATTCGTGAAGACGGTGCTGTCGATCCCACGTTCAAGACCTTTGCTGTTCAGAGCCCAGCATTTGAATGGGCCTGGGACAATAGCCCGATGGGCAAGTTGGACCAGGTCTATCAGAACTTCTCTAGTCTTGCCGGTTGTGGCTTTGCCTTCGATCTTACCTGTTTACAGGAGTCTACGAACCTAACAGCGGCGAACCAGGCGCTTTTTGACACTGTCAAGCAAACTGGTTTATTTCCTGTTGGGCCAGCAGTGGACGACAAATGGATCACCACGATTCCAACTATTTCGTTCGCGAATGGTGAGTTATGAACATTCTCAACTGAAGATGGTATACGTTAGCTGACACCGAATCCTCAGGTAAATATTGGAAGTCCTCGATTCAGTCGACGATCATCTCGCACGTTCTGAACGAGACTGCTTCGTTCACACCGCCTTTTGTGACCTCAGCTGACACATTTACCGAGTTC